TGGGAAGCTATAGTGATACGTGAACCTATTCATTTTGCTGCGGCGTCTTCTCCTTTTCCAGTGTACAGTGTAGAGTTGCAGGCTTAATGTTCAATGCAAAACCATGACTCCAAGACCAATCAATCAAAATTGCAAAAATGCATGGAAATGAAAGAGAGAGAGAGAGAGAGAGAGAGAGAGAGAGAGAGAGAGAGAAAGAAAGAGAAAGAGAAAGAGAAAGAGAAAGAGAAAGAGAGATGGAGATGCTCTTTTGCTTAGTTTTTCCTTTGTGGAGGTTGCTGTTGGATGCCATAATACGTATTTTTGCTGCATCACAGCAGTGAATTTGAACAATACATGAAGAAATCTGACTCTCTCAGTCATGATACCCCTACAATACTTACCACTATGTTATATGAGAACCAAGGGGAACCTTACAGAGCTTATCTCTACTTAGAGCAAGGATGGGAAAATTATGATTATCCCAGTGATGCTAAACGACTTCTATTTGCCTTAACCAGCATGGCCAATGGTGCAAGACGATAGCGGTTCCAGCCCAGTATTTTGAAGATCACATATTACCCAATGCTGACTTAAATGGACATGCTTTTAACCTGTGAAAAATGACGTAGTTGTAGTTAGGGTAATGAAGATGTAGTCCAAAAAGAGCTGGAGGGCACTATGTTGGGCAATATTGGTCTAGTTAATCCTAAACTTGAAGAAACTTTCTATTCTTGAAGTCTCCATATGTAGGGTTTGTTTTGTTGTCAGGAAATGGTAAAGCCCACTTACATTATTTCATTACAATAAGGAAAAGAGTTTTAACATTTTCACAAGAAAGCTAGTATTGTTTATTTCTCAATTATTATTATTCGAATTTTTATTCCGCCTTCTTTATAAATACCTTAAGGCGGTGAACATATCTAATACTTCTTCCTCCTCCTATTTTCCCACAACAACCACAACCCTATGAGGTGAGTTGGGCTGAGAGAGAGTGACTGGCCCAAAGTCACCCAGCTGGCTTTCATGCCTGTGGCTGGACTAGAACTCAGAGTCTCCTGGTTTCTAGGCCAACACGTTCACCCTTACTCCAAATGGGCTCTCTGTAAGAATACATTTATAAATAAGAATTTATAAATACATTCTTGATCACCTTGCTCCAATTAGGTCCTCTCCAGGTGTCCTGGGCTACCACACCCTGGATTTCTAGCCACCAAAGTCAATGCTCTTGATGAACTGTGACTACATAGTAATGAAGTGCCAAATCCATGTTCCAGGGATGGTTTGGAAGTTTTCTGAAAGTTAATCTGAACCAGAAGTGGTTCATGGTGTTCTGAGGGTGGCCCTGCCTTGAAAACGGAAGCAGCTTGTGATGTTTTGGACATGCTATCCCAGCTGTTCCATTCCCCACATGGAAGGTTTTGCACGTTCTAAATACATAGCAAACCAGTTTAAACAGAATAAAGAATGAATACAGGGAAATACAGAATTGCATTATTTACTGAAGGAAATAAGTAAAAATCATGGTGTTATAGCCTGTTGTTTTTTTAAAAAAAACAAGAACCATAGATGTATTGATATGAAAATGTAAAGGACTTTGTTATAAAGATGGTATCTGAGAGCAATTGAACAAGTTGAAACTTGAAGCTGCAGATGGTACCCTACGCTGAACCACGTTCTGCTGCTATGGGTGTAAAAATACAAATGGCCAAGCAGCGCCCATGCAAAATCTGAATAAAAGTTTTAGGAGCTCAGCATACATTTCCCCTTCCCATCCAAAGAATGATTTCACTGGGAATCTGTAAAAAATATTTTTCCCCACTGAAAGTCGGAAAGCGTTTTCTTTTGTTGTTAAAGAAACTGTGGCCTCGAAAGGCAGTCAAAGTTAGGGCATTGCAATTGAGTGAACCGCCTTCCCCTATGCAACAGAAACCTTTATTTTAATATTAAGGACTATTTTACAACTCAAGTGGAAATATGCAGAGAGGCAATCTATTTCCATCGTCAGGATGACCCCCCCCCAAAATAAAAGCACTCCCAAAGCCACAAGAGCCTGCCTTGTGTTAGCGATAAAAAATATATATATTTATATATATATATATTTATATATATATTTCTGCAGGTACTATGTGCATTAAACCAGTGTTGTCCAAACTTGGCCACTTTAAGATGAGTGGACTTCCATCCCCACCACTTTCCCCCCCCACCCTTGCCGCGGCGCGCGCAGGGGGCGGGAGGGGGGTGAAAGCACCGCAAGGAACGAGACAAGGGTAGTGCC